CACGTGCAGCGGGTAACTGTAGTGAGACTCCTGCAGCTGCGGATGAACCCGTGAAGCATCGCTGTCTTTAATCTAGGCCTTGAGCCCACTGATGCAGGCCATCAGGAGAGCTCTCAGCCCGGGGGCGCTATCTTCCCTGGAGCATGTACATGACACTTGTCGAGTTTAGGGTTTAGGGTGTGGAGTTGAGAGTTTAGGGCTCCTGTTTCTATTGGACAAAATCCCGGCATCACAGTACGGAATGAACTAGACCACACTACCCAGCATTTAGGGTATTTAAGGTGATGCAGGATTCTGTCTATCTGCGGCAGACTATGGAAAGTTCTTTGAGTCATAAGCGCCCTTCTCTAGGATTTTTGGGAGCCCGCTGAGGAAACGATTCAATGGTACAGCGCTCTGCTTCAGCAGGGCCAGGCTCCCCCGGCTCTTCCCGGAACCAAAGTCGCAGTTCTGCGAGCCTCCGTGGCTGGGGACCCGGTTGAAGGGGGCTCCTATGACACACGTGGTGTTTTTGAGTCATACCAGTGATGCTCAGTAGTGCAAGCAGAATTTTGCTTGCTAGCGTCAGGACTCCAACATCAGCCATACACGTACTGCAACCAGCACTGGCGAGAAGTGACAGCACCGCCGTGGATTTCATCATACCGAAGCTAGCATTCATGCGTATACTGGTGATATCGCAAATATGCAAATGCCGACATCGAGACTAGTATCGAGACTCATTCGGATGGCTGTGCTGTGCCCGTAACAGCCAAAGACAACAACGGCAACGAATTGCAGAATTGCTGTTGCAAGTAGTGGCCCCTGCTAGTTACAGCATGTTACCGCACGAGCAGTCGTAGCTGTACCATGAAAAGAATCTCACAAGGAATGCGACTAGGCTTAGTACTGGCTGGTACTTGCGGTTATGCTACCGGCAGTCCCAAAAGTACAGTAATTATAGCACTCTCAGGGGTGTCAGTAAGAGCATGAGACGAGATCCTAGTCGTATGCACAAATGCCGTATTCCTTGACAAACAGCAGTCATGATGCCTCTAATGGCAGTCATAGGTGCTTTTTTGCATCTGAGGCTTGGACATCGGCGAAGATGAATGAGACAGTTGCAGAGAGAATTGTACGTTGCTTGACTCCATATGCCAAGAGGCAAATGCCTGAGCATGCTCTCAAAAACGCTTTACCAAGGTGAGTTCCAAGCTCTCACGTTCCAAGACGACAAGGAGGTTGCGCACCAGCTTTCTTCCTTGTCCGAGACTCCTGAAGTGCACAAGGCAGGGTCAGAGCTCTCTTCTTCAGGGCCTTTGAGGGTTAGTTAGGTCCAAGATAGGTTTAAGGGAGTCATCACTTGATGAGTGACGATGCTTGCAGGTGCCGGGCACTCACTTCAGCGCCTCGGCTCGGCTGGGATAGAAAGATCTTGTGAATTAATGGCTGTCTGATTGTGTCGTTTTATCTGTATAGGTGTAGAGTCCGGAGAGAGGCTTGTCCACTGTTGAATGTGGCACCAGGCATGCTTCACGAGCCGAATGTCGCAAGCTTATTTCTACCAGTGGAGTGGCGGAGTCTGATTCAATGCTGCTTGCAGGGGGGCAAATGTTTGTTAGCAAAGGCTGTCTGCCGAGCTCTCAGGTTATGAAAGTCGCGTTCAAGGTCTTGTCGGCCTTGTACAGCGCGGAAGAGGAAGACGAGGGGTAGGCTGCAATGCGGGCTTGCACTGTTGGGGACGTTTTCGAGGTCTGGGGGTGAAGAGGGGGATTCTGTGAATGGCCTTCTTGTCCGTTGGAGTCTCCGCAGTATGTGGATGCTAAGTGGG